CAGGGCGCAGAATGAGCCAGCCTCAAGTCAGCGCCTTGACTCCTGATCTGTAAACACAGGAGAGGCAAGGAACGATGCTTTGAATGTCAGGAGGCGTTCAAGAGGCAGCAGGCATTTGTTCACTAATGCATCTAAGCACGGCTTGACTGCCCCATTGTGCCATTGCCAGCAGGTGAGTCCTGAATAGCAACCGTTCCTCGAGCCTTAGGTGCAATCCAGACTGTTGCGATGGGAACAAAGCAAGGTTTGACATCGCTCTGGAATGCGCTCGAGGCACGTCCAGACTCGTCGTTTCTCGACTTGCACGAGTCTAGCTAGCAACATAAAAGGGGTTCCCCTTGACTGATTCTTTCTCATTCCTGTTCCATCATCTCTTCGTCCTCAGCTCTCACCTAGATAGGCGTCTTCCAAGCGATTACAACTCACAAAGCTTCCAAAGAGCGACTTCAACATCAATAACATCATGTCTTGTTGCGGCAAGACGCGCAACCAACAAATGTGGGCTCGCGCGAACAACCACCGCCGCAAAATGGCTCTACAAAGGCAACAAGACAAAGAAAATGTCTATCGCAAGGAAGCGGCGCGCGTCCCCTCTTGCCCACTCCTCAAGCCCATCCCCAATCAGTGCCCTCAGGTGAGTCACAAGCGCAATTGCGCATGATTGCGGAACACCAGATTGGCGCTGAGATTTGTTGCCCCTCTCTAAGGACAACAATCCGACCCTTGGGATTCTCAAAATGAAAGTCTCAATTGCTGAGCAAGAGTTTATGACCGTGCACTGTGCTTGGGTGGCCAAAAGAGCCTTTGCATTTATGATCGGACTTAACTTGCAAAAGTTTCAGGAGCTCAACAAAGAAGCAGAAGCGCTGAAAGAAAGCTGCCGTCTCAAGGCTGTACCCGATCAGTCCCCTCAGGTGAGTCACAAGCGCGGTTGCGCATGATCACAGAACACCAGATTGATACTGAGATCTGTTGTCCCTCTCTAAGGACAACAATTCCACCCTTGGGATTCTGAAGACGAAGGAAAGTCTCAACTGCTGAGCCAGAGTTTCTCACTGCGCACTCTGCTTGGGTGGCCACAAGAGCCTACG